GGGGGGGGGGGGGGTTAAATAGACTTAGCATCACTCTTTCTTGGTCATGATATTCATTTTTTCCTTCTTTGTTTTCTCCATGCTTTGCAACATTACTATTCTTTGAAATCCCTTCAACTCTTCAACTTATTCATGTTCTTTTTGCATTTTTCTTTTTGTTCTTATTTTTTTTTCTTGCCTTTCCTTCTCTTTATTTCTTTTCTCTTTTTGTGCCTTGATACCTTTTTAAAACTCCTCTTCTCTCCCCCAAAATTACGTTTTAGCCAATTGTTTCACAAGAGTGTTAATAAAAGTTCGGGTGCCAAGAGAGTATCACGATAGAACGGGTAAATGCTTGTAGCATGGTGATTAAATGAGAAAGGTTTTAGTCTCAAATGGGTTGACTAGGTATAACAATATTGGTGGGCCATGGAAAATTTCAAGTGGGTCAAGGAGAGCCTACCATCACTTCTCAAGCCAAGCAAAACTTAAAATTTCGCCTAGAAACATATTCGGGGTAAGTTCTAGACCATTTGCATGGGTACTTGGACTTGAAACAAAAATATCTCACCTCTCACGCAGATGGATTGTTAAAAAGGATAGAGTCGAGGGCCCACAATGACCAGATTCAAGATTGAAAATCACTATAGCTCGACTAAACCACTCGATGATTGCCTAAGTCAACACAAGAGTCACAAGGTCACTAACTAGAGCTATTTCTTTCCAAAAAACTTGTTTTAAACCATAAGCACGTAGTTAAGTGTGTTGGTACCAAGTGAAGCATTTCTGACTCTTCGTGCTTGACTCAATTAGGTCTTTTTATTCATTACTACTATTATTCTTACCTAAATACCAAAAACGGACTCAATCCCTTAAGAAAGCTGTCACGCCATCCATCGTTGGGAAGAGTCACCCGGTTCACACAAAAAGTACCTTTGGAAAGAACCGTGGCATTAAGAAAACCAAAGGCTTATTGGTCACTAAAAACATAAAAAAGAAGTTACAAAATTAAAAGAAGCTACCAGATTAAGCATAGACTAGTAAGAAAACATAATAAAGAAGCTAAAAATCAAACTACTGAAAGCATAACAAATATACATAATGAGAGAGGAAAAAAGAGAATATATACATATAACACAAAAAGAAAGAAGAAAATATTGTAGGTTATTACAAGCCAAATGTCTAAATGTCATCCAAATATCAAATAAACTCTACCCCCTCGAATAAGAATAAGCATTGTCCCCAATGCTTAACAAAATAAGAATAAAGAAGGGTAAGAGTGAAAAAAGGACCCCCTATGTGGCCTTGGACATCGCTGTGTCCATAGAGGCATCACCGCCCTCAGTCTCCTCTAACTGGATCACATCATCATCGTCTCTGGGAGTAACTGGGTTGGTGAACATCTGGCGCACTGCCTCAGCAGTGTTGGCAGCCAGGTCTGGCTTCTCAGACTGGCCAGCTGGTGCCACTGGAACAGATGGTGCTGTTGGTGCTGGTGGGTCTGACCTTATGAGTAAATCGAATGGAATATTACCAGCTGCTGCTATCTTGGTCACCCCTCTCCTCAACCTATCATCTTATTTCTTGGACTCCTGGGATTTCCTCATTTTCTTTACCTGCTTCTCCAGCTCATCAATCACTGATCCATGTTCTACCAAGGTGTTCATGATGGTGGTTTGGTTTTCCAAGATCTTTTTCAATGTGTCCTCGACTGTCGGAGGAATATGGGGTGCCGGGGTGGATGACTGTGTTGCAACAACACTGGATATATCAGTCAGCTTTTTTGTGGCTATCAACATCCAGTTGTTAAGGCTCGCCAGTATTTGGGAGACTCACAACGCAGATAGTGGATGAGTGGGCATGGGCATCGGCTTAAAAAACGATGTGGATGGCACTGATGCTGAAGGACCTGAAGAAGGAGGTGAAGGCATAGCTGTTGCACTATCGTAAGGATCTGCTGAAGCAGATGGCATGTCGACCATCTCAGCAGCTACCCCGACAGGATCATCAGACTGGCCTTCAGTAGTAGAGGGTTGACCTTTTTTCTTTGAGTTTCCACCATCCATCAAAGAATACCATGAGAAAGGCTTCTTCGCCCGCACCTTAGTGTCCCTTGGTTCCACCCCCACATCTATGAGGAACTCATTGATGGTGTTGGATATGGGTATGAGGTGTCACCTTGCCTGGCGACCACAGACATATTTGCCGACATCACGACACCTAGTTGGACTTGAATCCATTGCCTCCACATCTTCGGTAATAATTTCTTGGCCCTTGTTCTACTTTACCGGTTATTCTTTCCTCTTGTTTGACTAACGTGCAGGTATATTCCACATTGGCGGTGCTACAAAAGAGGAAAAAGGCTACTGGGTGGACATTGGCGGATATTCGGGGTATAAGCCCTACCTTTTGCATGCATAATATCAAGTTGGAGGATGGCACCAAACCATCTATTCAACATCAAAGGAGACTCAATGAGGCTATGCAAGAAGTTGCCAAGAAGTAGATTATCAAGTGGTTGCATGCCGGGGTGGTATACCCCATCTCCGATAATTCATGGACTTCTCAGGTTCAATGCGTCCCAAAGAAAAGGGGCATGAAGGTGGTCACCAATGAAAAGAATGAGTTTATTACTACAAGAACGGTGACTGGATGGAGGGTGTGTATGGACTATCGCAAGCTCAACAAAGTAACAAGGAAGGATCACTTTCCACTTTCTTTCTTAGATCAAATGCTCGATAGATTGGCCGGTCGTGCTTTCTATTGCTTTCTTGATGGGTATTCGTGCTACAACCAAATTGTTATTGCTCCGGAATTTCAAGAGAAAACAACCTTTACATGTCCCTATGGTACTTTCGCCTTCAAAAGGATGCCATTTGGTTTGTGCAATGCACCGGTGACTTTTCAAAGGTGTATGATGGCTATCTTCACGGATATTGGGGAGTACTACCTGTTTTCAAGGACGACTTATCGGTGGTTGGGGATTCTTTTGATGATTGTCTTACAAATTTGGATAAAGTGTTGGCTAGATGTGAAGAAACAAATTTGGTGCTTACTTGGGAGAAATATCATTTCATGGCCGAGGAAGACATTGTCCTTTGCTAGAAATATCAAAGCATGGAACTAAAGTTGACAGGGCAAAAATTGAGGTGATTTCTAAACTTCCACCTCCAACTTCGGTGAAAGGTGTGCAGAGTTTCTTAGGCCACGCAAGGTTTTACCGGCGTTTCATTACAGATTTCTCTAAGGTGGTGAAACCGTTATGCATGCTTCTTGAGAAGGATGCTAATTTCAACTTCAATGATGATTACATGAGGGCTTTTGAATTGTTGAAGTTCAAGTTGACAACTACTCCCATCATCACCGCTCCAAATTGGAGTGTCCCTTTTGAACTCATGTGTGATGCAAGTGACGCAGCGGTTGGGACTGTTTTTGGGCAACGCATCAACAAAATGTTTCATCCGATCTACTATGCTAGTAGTACCATGAATAGTACTAAAGTCAACTATACTATTACGTAGAAAGAGCTCATTGCTATGATGGCGTTTCATCACAGATTTCTCATTGCATGATGGCCTTGAAATCAATGACTCCTTCCCCGATAAGCAACTCATGGCTATTTCAATGAAAGATGTGCCATGGTTCACAGATCTAGCAAATTTTCTTGTGTGTGGAATCATTCCGGATGAGATCTATTCAAACCAAAAGAAGAAGCTAAAACGGGATTGTCAAGATTATTATTGGGATGAACCATACCTTTCCCGGATTTGTACGGATGGTGCGATTATAAGATGTGTACCGGAGGAAGAGCAAGGTGAAATTCTTGGGTCTTGTCATTCTTAGCCATATGGTGGTCATCATGGTTGAGGCCATTGCTTTACCCAATAACGAGGTGAGAAGTATGGTGGCTTTCTTGAAGAAGAATATTTGCAAAACATATGGTACTCCACGTGCTATTATAAGCTATGGGGGGGGGGGGGTCACATTTTTACAACAAGGCTTTTGGAACTTTGCTTAGCAAGTATGGTGTTAATCACAAAGTCACGACTCCTTATCGCCCACAAGCTAGTTGGCAATTGGAAGTCTCCAATCGGGAGACAAAGAGTATCTTGTCAAAAACAGTGAATGTTAATCGGACGGATTGGTCCAAGAAGCCAAATGATGCATTATGGGCTTATCGTACGGGTTACAAAACACCTATCGAAATATCGCCATACAGTTGGTGTTCGGAAAAGCTTGTCATCTTCCGGTGAAACTAGAGCACACGGCCATGTGGGCTCTAAAGAAGTTGAATCTTGATTGGGATGTAACCGCTAACTTGAGGATTGCACGTTTAAATGAATTAGATGAGTTCTGGAACCATGCTTATGCAAGTTCATCCTTGTACAAAGAAAAGATGAAATATCTTCATGACAAATACATTTGAAATAAAGAGTTCAAGATAGGCGATCTTATATTGTTGTTTAACTCAAGGTTGAGGATGTTTCCCGGGAAGCTAAAGTCTAAATGAAGTGCTCCTTTTGAAATTGTGGGCATGACACCTTTTGGTGCATTAGACTTGAAGAAAAAAACAATGAAGTATTCCGAGTCAATGGTTACCGGGTGAAGCACTATTTGGGAAAGGTTGGAGATAGCCATGTCGTGGCGGTCATTCATTTCAATTGATCGTATTCTGCGTCGTGTCGCGCTTTTAAATCAGGCGCTTCTTGGGAGGCAACCCATGTTCTTTTCCCTTTTTTCTCTTTTGTGGTTAGGTGTATTTTCTTTCTAACTTGATTTGAAGTGTGCTACAGGGCTGAGTCTGACTTACAGGAATTGTGGACAGAAATCTGGCTAAGTGTTGCAAGAATTGCGGACATCAATTGATTTGTGCGGACCGCACATTTTTGGGTGTTGTAGAAAAAGAACATTGCGGCCGCACAATTAGCTTGCGGACCGCACAAATGAGAGGTTGAAAATGTCAACTCTCTGAAGTTTAGTCTGTCAGAGAAAAAGTTGATGTGCGACCGCACACAAATTTGTGCGGATTGCAGATAAAATGTTGAGAGGATGTCTTCAGGTAATAGAGTGCGGACCGCACGTGAAAATGTGTAGCCGCACTCACCCTTATTTCTCTTAGCAAACCAAGTCATATAAATAGAGTATTAGGGCCACAATTACATTTTATTCACTCTCTCAACAAAAGAATAGTTCCCTCTTGAAATTTCTTGGTGATTTCATAAGTCAACACACACAAAATCTTTGATAAGTCACTCATTGTTGATACCCAATTTTGCCATCATATTTTTTAAATAATATATATACTTTCAAAATATTATTTTGCATCATTACTTAATTTACAAGAGTTATATAAGTACTTTCTGTAATGTTTCAGAAATTTTAAGGCTTTGAAATTGATTTTCTTGCATTTAAATTGTTTAAATATTTATTAATTACCCCTTTAATTTATTTTGTTATGACTTAATCATCTAAATTTATTATTTGTATCCACATATATGCTTCATAATATTTTACTTTATTTTAATATAATTATATTTGTATTTTAGATATAATTTACATAATTTTGCAATAATAGCATATATTTTGTACATAATTATATTTATTATATTATTTATACTAAAACAGAATTTCTTAAATTTTTATAAAGTTAATACATAAATAATATTTTGTTTATTATTTAATCATTTTTTATAAATTATTATAAATAATGTTCGCATATTTAATTTCATAGCCCAATTCCGAGCCAATTTTCGGATCCAAATACCAAACCAAACCTAAAAACCATGGCCCAAAACCAAACGGCCTCTTTAATTGACCCGGTCGCAACCCACTTCAAACGACCCGCCCCACCATTCTTTAATCCAGACCGTTGATCTCTCAAGATTAATGGTCCACAATAACCCCACCATTTTAATTATATTTGCCCCAAACCTTAGCCCCATTCTTCAGAGATAGCCTCCCCTAAATCCTTTCAACTCTCTTCTTCTCCTCGCAAACCCTAATAGTCGCCTCCTCAATCTTCCCCGATTCTAGTCCTAATATGGAATCTCCTCATGATTTTCCTTCCATATATGCGCGATCTCTCTGTTATTTACATGGTATTGGTATCACATAATACTTTTCTATCTTTGGCAAGTATACGGATCTAAATCAAGTACAATCATCTCCAGACCTTTGAGATTTAGATGATATTTTGTCTACATACACTTACTACCAGGCTATACCAAGATCTTCAACCGATTGTTGGTTCTAGTCAAATTAGGGTTTGCTTGATTCCTTTTTCTAATTTTGTTTCCTAAACGATTCTGCATGCTCCCTCTTCCTTATTTATGTTTTGATTTACTGTGTTTCCTTGTTTAGAGGTTTGATTTCGACTACTATATAAACCCCTCCCCAATTTCGCCTTTGGACAGACTCTAATCGCTAAAACTACCACTGTCCTCATATTCTTTCTTGTTTTATACTATTCGGAGGCTCAATCTTTTGGCCGACTGAAAGCCAAGGCTACCGAAATTCAATTCTCGAACCTTTCTCAGTGTGAGCACTAGCCGGAGTTCATTCGAAACCCTTGGGAACTCTGACGCACAGAGATTCATGGGTTCTACTGTTCGTTTTGCTATTAGCATTAAAGTTCTCCTCTTGTATACTTGTTCTTCTGTGACTGGTAATGTATCTATGACTCTTGCAATTTCATTTCTTTCTGTTTGCATTTTTGCTTTGCATATCTATGTCTCTAAGAATTGGTATGAATCAACATGTCATTATATGTTTGGAAGCTCTTCTTGAGGCTCTATGCCTTCTAGTAGTTCAACTTGCCTATTTGTTATCTTGATTCTGCCTTCTTAAGCATGCCTGCTAATGTATGTGCTCGAATGCTTATTACTGTTGCTTATTCTGAGTTTGGTTTCTTGCCTTGTCATGTACTATTATGAATAACCAACTCGTACCTAGAATGTGTTATAATCCCTGTTGAGACATTCATGCCCAACTTGTTATCTTTCTAGAGTTCTATTGTTAAGCTATGACATGTTCCATGCTATTTGTAACTCTATTGTATTTTTGACTT